TCTAATTGAAAATTTGAAATTTTGAAGGCTATATGGAATTAGCATTTGATTAATAACAAAAAAGCCTGTTATACTCTTGGTGGATCTGATGGATAAATTTTTAAAAGTGATTTAGCCTCGTCAATATGTTTAAAACCATCAGATAAAGCTAAAGTTTTGAGAAAGAATATAAAAGAAAATAAGGATCACCTTATAAGTAGTGGTTCCAAATTGACAGAAAAATCAGATGAATGGAGAAGTTTAACTAAATGCATGAAAGAACTCAGGTACAAGAGGAATTTGAAGATGAGTAAAAAATTTGTAACTTGATTGAACGCTATAATGATTATTGTGGAATATTAATTATAGATCGCCTTCAAAAATTGGCACAATCTCCAAACAATTATAAAATACTTGGCAAAATTTAAATCCAAAACCAATAATTATGTAGATTCAGAACAAGCTTTCATAGTTGCTTTATATTGCGTTATAATTGAATCAATTTTGTTGTTTTTCTTCAAATGTGTTCTTATGCAGATCCTGACTAATAAATACAACTTACTAGCTTTTAGTTATACTTATTTTATTTAACCAAGGTAAGCCGACCAGGGGACAGACATTACCAAAACTTAAAAATCTAACAAATAAATCCTCACTAAACAGAATGAATGAATCGGCCTAAATGAGTGGACAACACACAAAATTCAAACACAACCTACCAGGTGGGACAGCGGGAACAGCTTATCCCACCATGGCGGAAGGGGAGGGGGATCAGGGGGCTCATCCTTGGCCTCTGTTTCACCCCAAATCAGGGCACATGCTATGGTGAAGAGCAAAAGCGTCAGGGCATCAGCAGGATGCAGAGATAAATTTCTGATGATTGGGGTGGCAGGAAAACAGCGGTTGAATATAAGAGATCCAACGTAACTGGCCAAAGATGCTTCAGCTTTCATGTGTGCATCTGGGAGTTTTTACAAACGTGACAATATTGGTGTGGGCAATATTGGATTTGGGATTCCGCGCTACCACTGCCATATGCTGGAAGGCATTGTTGGCAGCTTTGTGATAATTGGTCACCATCTGCTTTTAGATCCTATTGGTGGTAGAGGGGGTAATGGGAGGAGGAATTCCTCCTGTGAGCATCGCCACTGATTTGGTGGCAGCTTTTTGAAGAGGGCAACAATATGTCTTAGCCATTGCTTCAACAGCCAGCTGGTGGTTGCCACAGAACATTTTGGCATTTTGCTGTGGGGCTTATAAGCGAGGTGGTTGCATAGCGTCATGGTCAATAAACACAAACCGCTTGAGTTTTATAGTGCGGTCTTCAATAATATTCCCAGACTCATTAATTTCAGCCAATAGATCCCAAGGATTTTTCGTTGAATTAAATTGTGGGAATTGTCATATTCCTGAGGTTTGGTTGGTTCATTGGAGGATGTATGGGAGCAAACTGCGTCCCCCCCCGTGTTAGATTTAAGAGAGCGTTTGTGGCACTGGGGCGAGGAGGAAGCTGATTGGTGGCTGCTGAAGCAGCTGCAACAACAGGCTTTGGGGGAGGTGGAGGTAGGATCGTACCTCATACCAAAGCTGGTGCAGGGTGGGCGGCAGATTGGAAGCCAGCGGATGAAAAATCAAGCTGTCAGAAGCAGCTAAGGTTGGGCACTTAAATTTTGAGTGAAACAACTTATAACAGAATGGATAGATCGTCTGCCCACCCTTGAAGTGGCCCCAAAATTGATGGTCAGGGGCAGAGGGGATTATGGTGCGAGGGGGAATCGCCAAAGCAATTTTATTAGATTCAGGGCTGATTGTGGCATACACATAGGGCTAAGCGAGGCGTGTGGCCCGATTTGGTACCACTAATTGCAAGATGGGGTTGGAGCTGTAGGCTGCCAAACCTTCCATCCACTCTGGGTGGAGCACCTCAGGAGGAAGGTGGGTGGGCAAACTAGAAAACTGAGCCACCAAAGTGGCATCCGTTGGGAGCCAGGTCTGAATTGTGGGGAGAGGGGTACCCTAGAAGTCCAGGGGCACAGTTGCCGCATTGGCGGCATCAGCTTCACAGGTGAAGCTAAGGTTAAAATACCCCTTATAGGGGTAGAATTCAATAAAGCCAGTGGGACACATCACCGCCTGAGCCATTTAAATAATGGCTTGGTCGTGGTAAGGGAAAAGTTTCCCATAATTGACACTAAGGCCAAAATGCATGTTGCTCTGGGGGAGCACCAGGAGGCAATGAGGCACTGCTTGAGTATGAGCAAGGAAGGTGTCAAAATCCTTGGGAGGAACGAATTGTCCCAGGGGTTTGGTATCACTGGCAAAGCCAGTCTGAGCTCGTTTTCCTGTCAAATGGAAAATAGCAGGGGGAGCTTCACTGCTGCCCCACACTGGGCCAGCTGGCAGGGAATCCAAGGACGTCAGAGCAAAACTATGGTGGGCGATTGAGATTTGCTTTTTCCATAAGTTTTTTCTCAGAAAGTCACTCCAAGTGGAAATAGAGTTTCTTTTAACCATACTTATATTAACATGATTTTTAGCACTAGTGGTGCCTATCCCAAAAGGGGAGCCGCCATGCGTCTTTATTTGCAAAACAGTCAAAGGGATTATCATTAAATTAAAAAATTTTCAACATGGCACCTCAGCTAACAGCCTAGGAAGCCATATCAGTTTGTGAGGAAGCTTACTAGAACTTTTGGCTGGCGGCCACTTTAACTGGCAGACCATGGCGGACAACATTGGGGTAAGAGAATCAGAGACATGTGGCATAAGGAGGTATAGTTTACTTATATTAACATGATAAACCATAATAATGAATCTTTACTTAAACTAAGAAACTGAGCAAAATAAATCTGGTGGCATTCATCTTTACCTATTTTGCAGGAGCAGGAAGGCCTTTTAAGTTTTTTATTGTGTTGACAATAGTCCAAGGATTAATCAATCCACAAAATGTTAGTATACGGACAAACAAAGTTTTTTCTACTGTGATATCCTTTTTTATGGAAAATCACATATTTTGATCCACCCAACTCCTTTGACAAATATTGTAAGGAACCTAGTAACTTAAAAGTTGAGCAAGGTCTCCTCCAAGGAGGCCTTTGAGCAAAATACTACTAACACATCCCACAATTTTCTACTGGTTATGTTATGAGACAGACTGCTAATAAAACTGGTCCCAGGGAATTTCTACACTTGCTTTAAAGCCTTTGCTGATGTCATAGCGATTGCATTTGAATTCTCAGAGGATTGTAAACTCACTGCCATGACTCTTGAAAGTTACACCTTTGCATCCTATGCCAAGTTCAATACCTCCATGACACCGGGTGGTCCTGGCTGGACCCCTTTCCTCTGCTGTTAAGTATTGAACCCACTCAATGCACTTTCTGCCATCTAGGCGTCCTCAGTAATTAACAGGAAGCCGCAATGAATGCCACCAAGGACCAGACACTGAAGAGTTAAATGATAATATTGTCAGCTGGAACCAGTGAAACATTGCCCCTCTGGTTTGTTCCCTGATAACTAACATGTCTTGCTTTCACAAGGTATGGTTTCTTGCATACTTCTGTCCCTTTATAGAAACCTTTTGCATGAGAATCAACATGGTGCTTTGCTGTTGGATATGGGGCTCATACCACCCACCCACATCACTAGTTACAATTGCCTGACCATGTTATAAAGGATTCTTGGGAGTATTGGACCTTAGGATCCATGCATTATAATCTACTTTCAGTTCCTATGGCCATTTGTTTTCTGAATCGCGGTCTTAATGCCCCAATAGACGCCTGCATTCCGTCGTGAAGTGTCTGCACCTCTGGGTCTTCCTAGAGCATCGATGACCTCTTTTTTAAAGTGTCTAAAGAACCATCCTGACCAACGGCTAATAACTCTTTAAGCACCTATTAGAACCAGGCTTATTGGACAATTAGATGTCCAGCCAATTTAGAAGAATTATTTGTCAGTGAATATTGTGATTAATATACAAACTCTATAGTAAATCCTTGGTGAAACCCTTCAACTAGAGTAATTCTTCTACTTCAAAAATCCCACTGAAAACCCTAGATTTTGGCTTTCTGGCTCCTCCAAACCTCCGGCCAAATAGGCCAATTGATCTGAAACTCCGCCAAGCACCAGCTTGAAATTAATGAAAGTTACTAAGAGAAAACTCCATATTTATAAACTTATAAGGGGTCTCAGGAGGTGCAAATATTTTAACAACCAATCATCCCTTAGGAACTGAGGTAATTGGCTGAATTATACAGATATCAAAGATGGCTGATTAGCAGAAATACATTAAAATGCTCCCCCATGGTTATGTCATTTTGAAGTCAATCTTGCATCTTAATTCTAAGCTTTATCAATATGATACAGGTCTTAATAGCAGTGATAGGCTGAATACTCATTTAGCAAATTGGGATGCTCTCTGCCTAATTCAGGTTTCATCGCCTCTCTTTACTAAGATTTAAATTAGTGTAAATACTAAGCAATATCAATGACTTAAGGGTTCTTCTTTATTTTAATTCCTGAGTTTTAATATTAATAAAAAATCCTATAAATTTAGACCCCCTTTTTAGGTTATAATTTTCTCTTCATACAAATTAAATAGCTATTGCAAGTATTAAATACTTTAAAGACTGCTAGCAATTGTCATAAACCTGTGCCAATAGCGCATGTGAGTACTTTCTCCAGTCAGGATTTTAAGAAGACTCTTAATCTCTCAAATATTATAAAGCGCGTGTCTATGAAACCTTCAATTACATAAAAGATGGTTTGATTTTAGCCCCACTTGGCTTTGAGCTCTCTTAGTAAAAGATGAGGGTAAATGATTGGATACTTGGAGGTGCCAGGCAGGACAACTTAAGGTGGAAATAACCCTTCTTTAGAGATTCAGAGGTTCCTAAATTTCTCAGTGGGTGAAGAGTTTCAGTCCTAGAGTTCTGTACTTCAAACTTAGAATACAAAAAGATTGTAAAAAGTACTTTATTGAGAAAAGATATGTACTAAAGTACTAAATTAAAATAAGGAATGTGAGGAGGTGGAAGGCGAGTCGGTAAGGGCATATGGCTACCAACCTTAAGGTTGCGGGTTCGATTCCCACCCTTCACACATCAATTGGGGTGCCAGCCAAAAGAAGCTATTAGCAGTTAGTAGGTCTAATAACATAAAAACCTTACCCATGACGTAACCAGAAAAATTTGAGTCCCGATCTGGAGGTGGAAAAACTTTCTTTGATGGAGTTGACCCTGTTCAGGTTTCATGTCATTTCTTTCTTTCAGTAATGCCTGCCCCCAGTCAGCTTACCTCGGTCAAATAAAAATAAGGAATGTGATGAGTGATAGGCGAATACTACATGTGAGGGTGGAAGGAGATATATGAATATAGGAGGCAATGGCACAGTCCAGGTTCAGATTTGGAATAGATCAGGTTTCATCATCAAAGGATGGACTGAGATCAAATAATGGTAACACAGTTAAGTGGGTTTTATTATCTGTTATTAGGAAGCCAATATGTGGTAAGGCTTGATGTGTGACATAAGGTGATTAATTGGGTGAGTGCAGGAGTTAAACACTGAAACATCCTCAGGCTTAGGATCAGGATGGATAGTAACTTGGCTCAGGCATTCTTTCCTATCTCATCTGCCAGTGGAGCATTAAAAAGGTAATTTATCCGGAGTTTGTTAGAACTTAAACTTAGCGTTATTATAGGAAATTGCTTAGTGCATAAATATAAGAATATTAATAGTTTTGGACGTTAGGTCCAAAAAAACGTTGGTAGATAAATTAAAATAATTATATTATGGCTTAGACTTGATTAAATATTAAATAGTAATTTTACACTGATGTCAATAGTAATATTAATATTGTTAACATTGATTAAGTAATTGATATATCATAAACCTATAGTCAAGGCTGCACCTAGATTAAAATAAATTCTGATAAAGCCTCCTCCAAACCTCAACTGAGAGTGATGATGGTTTCTCCATGGTTGGCCAGCCTCATTAATGTCCCTAACTACCAGAGTTGGGCTGGATGTGATAGCCCAAGGTAGTCAGTTTAGGTGCAGCCTGGCTATAGAGAGTTGAGTTTCAGTCTTATAATCTGTAAGCGGTCAGTAGTAGGACACAGTATCTTTTAAATTCTATTCACTTGAAAAACTTGACCTTGGAGAGGTGAGAATACCAAAGTTTTGTTCGTTCAATTGGATTAAAAATGGCAGCCTTAGTTTTGGCGTCAGTATTCAAGCTGAGTGTGAGGATAAAAGGTAGTCAGTGCAGGTTTAGTAAAAATAGAGTTCAGCCTTGCAAATATTAAAATGGTACACGTCCTTGTCAAGAACTTGGTAGCACAGCTTGGGAGTTGGGGTAGACAAGGGACAGAGGAGCATAGGAAGTACTCATATTTTTCTGGTAGATGGGCTCAATGTCAAAGTAGATAGGGGCAAATAAAATACTAACAACAAAGCTGCTTAAAGAATCTGTATGGATATCTTCAACTGAAACTGCAGTTGAAACTAAAAGTGGCTCTAGGGATAGAGGAAATAATCTGATGCAGGGATAAACATTGGTTTTCTCTTCAAAAACCCTTAAGGGCGAGTTAACAGGCAACTGGTAAAGCCCTTCTTTGGTCAGGTGATTCATCTTAATGGCAGAGTTCATTCAACAACTCTGTTTCATGATGTTGAAGGGTAGATATAAATTTAGATTGGGAGTCGTTAGTATATCCATTTGACAGAATGGCGAGGACAGGAGATTTTAGGCACAGCCTCACTTAAAATAAAAAGGTGAACAGGTAATAACTTGTTAAGCCTGCCCTGATCTGATTGAGTCAAGTTTGATCCTTTTCTACTGGCAGTCAGACCTAAGATAATAGTTAAAGTAAACTTATAGATAAAGGTGTAAAAATAAATAAATGGAAAAAGGACAAAAAAGATTTTGGAGTCTCAGATTTTGTTGTCAAAGCAGTGAGGAGCATCAGCGCCGTTAGTTTAATGAGGGCGCTGAGGCATTCTTGTTGTCTTGTTTTTCAGTGAAATAGATAAAAGCGTTGATGCAAGAGTTTGGAAAGAGCTTTGAAGCATTCAGTTTGTTGTTCTAATTCTATAATTAGAACAGCAAGGAGCATTGACACTAAGGGACGATAAGGTTGCTGAGGCATTCAGTTTATCTGTTCCAATTTTGTCGTTGGAAAAGCGAAGAGCTTCAGCACAGATAAGCAAGTTAAGTGCGGATGCATCTTGTTTAATGAGCTGGGTTTTATCAGGGGAAGACTTCAGCTCAGGCATATAAATAAACTCAACTTCTACAATAGCAGGTTTAAGTTTTTTACAAAGCTTATTTTAAGGGAGCCCTTGCAAATATTCTAAAGATCTTTATGTAATCTAGCTCTTCTGCTTGCTCATTTCTTGGGGTGTTTATTTAGTCACAGTTGGTAATTGGCACGGCTGGTCAAAGAAAATTTGGAAGGTTTTCAATAACCTTAACAGAAGAGAACAATTTAGGCACCAAAGGCATATGGTTCAGTTGGGAAGTTTGAGCATCTGAGCCTTGGCGTTAGGAAACAAAATGGCGAGGCAATTATTGGGGTCATCTTCTCCATTTAACACAGTGAGAGGCTCTGGATCATCCACAAAATTAAACTTGAAATTTTCTTGGAATTCAGTGTTGGTAACATCCAACTTGTTAGATGTAGCAAGTCCAAGTTCTTCTCATAGATCTTTATCAAAGGAAACTAAAGAAGGTGGTAAGACTCTTTTTGGTTTAACTGAAATAAACTATAATTTTAGTAACTTATCATAGATTTTTTCTGGGATGGGTGGGTAGATCTGGCAGCACTCTCGAAATTTCCAGCATTAAGTAAAATTATATTATACATAGCATCATAAACCATATCTATCCTTTCTCTGCAACTTCATCTTTGAGCTCATAGTCAATATCTGCAATTCATTTGGTGGCATCCCCAGCATAACTCTTGATCATATTGAGCTGTTTTCAGAATATTGCACATCTTATAACCATTTGATTTCAATTCTTATTTCTTTCATTGCTGTTGTCATCATTTCAAATATTGCGTGGCCCAATAAGACCATAGCACTTGTGACATCCAGGTAGGTTCAAGCTCATCCAAACTTACATCTTTATACTCAGCTCATATCCACAAGGTAGAGAGGCTTCTTCTTATCCTTTTTCGTCTTGTTTTAATTTCTTAAGTGATCCTAAGGGCGATCAAAGTCTTCACAGTGGCAAATTGGAATGTCCCTGTAGTGAGTACCAATGTCAGCTTTGCACTTTCTTGACAACAAGCTGAGGGTAAACGATTGGATACTTAGAGGTTCCAGGCCAGAGAACTCAAGTTGGAACTTTATCAATTATAGAAGCTCAGAGGGTCTTAGCAAATCTCAGTGGGCTGGTGATATTTCTATTCTAAATCATTTGAATTTAAGCTAAAAATAAAGATGATTGTAAAAGTATTTTAATAAAAAATAGATTTGAACTTTTTAAAGTACCAATGGAAAATCAAGAATGTGATGAGTGATAGGCAAATACCACGTGTGAAGGTGGAAGAAGACATAGATATAGGAGGTAAAAGCATAGTTTGGGTTCAGAGTTGGAGTAGATCAGGATTCTTTGTTGTAAGCTGGGCTGAGATCAAATAATTGTAACACAGTTAAGTGCGTTTCATTATCTATTGTTAGAAAGCCAATATGTGGTAAGGCTTAATATTTGGTGTAAGGTGATTAATTGGGTGAGTAGAGGAGTCAACCACTGAATACATACTCAGGCCTAATATTAGGATGGATAGTAACTTGGCTCAGGAATTCTTCCCTATCTCATATGACAGTGGAGCAAAAAAGGGTAATTATTCAGATGTTGTTAGATCTTAAACTTAGCATAATTATGGGAAATTGCTTAGTGCATAAATATAATAATATTAGTGATTTTGGACGTTAGATCCAGAAAACTGTTGGTAAATAGTTTATAATATTACTGGAACTTAGACTTAATTAAATACTAAATAGTAATTATAAGCAGATGTCAATAGTAATATTAATATTATTAACATTGATTAAAGTAATTGATATATCATAACCCTAAGGGTGGTTAGCTGAGCGGGTAAAACTGCTTCCGCCCCTAGTGTAGGTTTTGAGTTCAAAACCTGTACTGGCTAGAAAACATTCTCGGTGCGGTATATTTATCCCAAGGTCGACCCACCTCGAATAATTTTTTTTTATATCATAACCCTAAAGTTAAAGATTCACTTAATCCAGGGTGAAGTCTAAAAGCCCCATCGCCACAAAATTTTTCATTATGATAAATTGTCATGAATATGCTTATCACCTGACAGACCTCTCACCTTTACATGACTCCTTGAGCTTTTCTTTCTCAATGAGGATCAAGTATAAGAGGCGTTGGAAGGACGTCTACCATCCATTTTAATGCCAAAGTGTTCAGCACCTCGTGGAAGGCTCTCCATTACTAAATGGCAGGAATAGAACTGGACCAACCTTCAAACATAGGAGCTGTCCTCACTGTACCAAGCCCATCTACTCTACCTCCACAGTTTTCACCTGTCCCTGTATCACCCCTTTCTGGACTAGAGTCTGCGCATTCCTCCAGGCTCAACTAAGAGTTGGACACCCAATCCAAGACTTGATGTTTGAACAACCGTATCTGGCTACCACTGGGCTCTTTAGGACCTATACTAATACATGGCTATCTGAAATCTACATCTCCTTCATATGTTCCACCTTTTACTCACAGGTGTGTAAACTACTTCAAATTATCACCTGCTTCCATGTCCACTTTGAAGTGGCCTTAGAGATCTGCATAACATAATCAGATCTTCCCAGCTCAACCATTACTGAAGCTCATCTATATTGAACCTACCACCTCCTTTTCTAAATACCTCCTCCCTCCCCTTACCTCACCTTAGGCTCTTAGGAGCCCAGGCATAGCTAGATAAATCAAATGAATCCCTTTCAGATTAGACCACCCAGTACTAAAAAAGAATATTACAACAGCATACCATTAGTAGCACTTTTTTATTTAGAATAAAATGACAAGGTTATATTACTTATAGCTTCCTGTGCCTTTTTACAAGTTTACAATT